TTTTTTTTTTTTTTTTTTTTTTTTTATTAAATAAATTGAGCCTTGGTGAGCAAAAGAGACTTCTTTCAAAAACATTCAAACAATCTTATTATAAACATTTGGTTGTGTATATTTATATTTTGCATAAAGAAAATGAAACTTTTTTAGTACCTTTAATATACTTTTTGCATTAATATATGATATTATTTTCATTCAAATCAAACATAAATTCTACTCTAAAATGTATTATTACTTTAAAGTGAAAAATCTCATTCTTAACACGGTAATGATAACCATTTCTCAACAGCTGCTCAGGTGTGGTGAGGCTGATCGCACCTGGTAATGTTGAGTTGATGTATCCATTGATGGTGTGGTACTGGGTTGGACTTGATGTTTTCTTCAGTTTGTCTGCTCGGCCAACTTCCCGGTACCAACTTTTACTCTCATCGAAGACAGCAAGAAGCAAAATGAACTCCGGAACCTTCCGCTGTCTCTCCTCAGTCAGAGCCTCTGAGAGAGGTCAAATGTTAAAGGACATGTCAAATATACACCAGCATTCCAATTTCAGTACAAAATGTCAGTGAGATTTTACATGATATATTTGACAAATCCTAACAGAGAAGCAACAGTCACACCTGTTTTACAGATCAGGAGAGTCCCGACGAGTCCGCTGTTCAAGTCTCGGATGATGTCCACCTGTGATGAGTAAATGTAGGTAAGGCAGTCTGGATCTGATGTGGTTGGCCCGGAGTTGGGGGAAATGTCCCACACGTACTTGTAGTAACCACCAGGAGGCACTGCATCATCCGCTCGCTCCTGAACAGAGCTGAAGTCCTCGTACCCTGCGCCTGCCATTGAAAAGCAGAAGGATGTTGAGGTTTATCTTTACACATTATAGGTTTTCAAACCCATCAGGATATTGCAGTATATCTCACAATATTGCTTTCGTTTCGCAGGGTAAGGCCGAACTTTCTATATGCTGGTGTATATGGGAAATCAAATGTATTTTATGCACTCTGGAATTTATCAGTATCTCCAGTGTTACAAAACACATAACAGTATTCCAAAACAAGTCTATAATGATGTTGTGAGTTCAGTCTAGGAACAATTTGTCTTATGCAGTAAAAGTTGGACGGTTTGGAATGAAATGATTTACATTCCAAAAGGGTTTTTTCCGCAGCAATGTGATAGAAAAACTATTCTTTTCAATTCTTAAAAGAACCGCTTTTAGAACATTTTAATAATCTAAAGAACCTTGTTACATTATAAAGAACCTTTTGTGCAATGGAAAGATTCCATGGATGTTAAATCAATGGCTTTCATCAATTTACCTTCCGATTGTTTCCAGTACTGAATGCCGATGGGAGAAATGCTGAAAGATTGTGATGCAAAGTTTTTGAAGTGCACCACAACCCTGTCGTTCACCACTGTTCTGATAGTCGGGCCTTGAATACCTGAAACAGATCATTTAATATTCTATTTATTCAATTCTAAACTTCTTAATGTTTTTTTCCTAAGAAGCAGAGATTTCAACGCTTATACTGACCAGCCCAGGGAGGTTTTGACTTTGGTGCTGTAAAAGTAGAATCAGTGTATTCTGTATATACAGCCTTGATGTATTTCTGGACACCAGATGCAAATTTCCTGTTAGGAATAATTATGCTGTTACTAGACATATTTGCAATACAGTGCAATACAACATAATACAACACAACTTTATTAATCCACTAGAGTTAGCAAAATATTGAAAGAAATAGTTCACACAAATATGAAAAGAAAATGTATTCATCCTCAGGCCAGTCACCATATAGATGAGTTTGTTTCTTCATCAGAACAGATTTGGAGAAATGTAGCATTACATCACTTGCTCAGCAATGGATCCTCTGCAGTGAATGGGTGCCGTCAGAATGAGAGTCCAAACAGCTGATAAAAACTTTCCAACACTTGTGGATTATTGTGATGTATTTATGGATTATTGTGACACTTTGCATTAATTTATACAATTTTGGAAGTGGTGATTTGAAGTTAAAACATCTTGATGGATTCTAACAAACAGCTTTTGACTTCACAAGACATTAATTGATGGACTGAAGTGGTGTGGATTATTGTGATGTTTTTATCATCTGTTTGGACTCTCATTCTGACGGCACCCATTCACTGCAGAGGATCCATTAAAAGGTGTATAATCTTTATGGGTAGCAATAATTAAAAAGCATGTTTTTATGTGTGCATAATAATAAATGTGCCCACCTCTGGTTTGCAGTAGGATCTGTTGTGTCTGTAAACACATATTCCCACTTAGTTTCCACTGCTGCGATGAAGAACTCCAAAGTCTTCGCCAGGACACAGGGAGACTTCAGACACACCGTGAGGGAGAGGAGGAACAGAACAACCTTCATCACTGGAGCACAAGTTAAACCCGCTGACTGAATGAGATGCTGAGATGCTGTCAGGACATATTTAACTGCACAGGAAAAGTGTTTAGGGAGGAGCCAGAGAGAGGGCGAGACAGAGAGAGTGTTCATGATAATCATGAGTAATGATGAATGTTCGAGTCATGGAAAGAATGGATAAAGGTGCACTCTTTTGCAAATTTCTACAGTTTTTTGGGGGTTATATTTTCCTGAAAAGCAGATGTTTTGGGCAATAGTAATAGTGATGCTTGTCATAAGCAGTCTTAATCATTTACACGTAACGTTTAATTACATTAGCACTGGAAATAATGTACCATTTAAAGCAGAGGTTTTTCAGCTTTCCTTCACCAGAACCAAAATGGGATAAATGGCAAATAAAAAAAAAGAAGTTTAAACTCACACTTACAAAACTATATGCAGTGTTTTATATCAATGATGTGCTCTTTTTGACCAAAACAACTCCAACAAAGACACAGACTTTTTTTTTTTTTTGCTTTCCTGACCAGAAACAAAATAGGATAAATGGCAAACAAGGAGGTTTACCTGGAACTCACACTTACAAAACTATATGCAATGTTTTTTTTTTAAATTATTATTATTAATGCTGTGTTCTTTTTAACTGAACTCCAAAAAGTGAGGTTTAACTAAAAAACAAAAACAAAAAAAAACATTTAGGAATTATCACCTAAATGTAATAGTCTTATTTTACTTTTTGGATGTTTTCTTTTATTGTTTTAAATGGCTTAAATGTTGTCTTGAATCATGATTGCCATATAGGCTAGTCAATTTCTAAGTGAAGCTTTGTAGGAAAAAAAAATCTCTCTCTCTCTATATATATATATGCAAAGTACAAATATAGGCTATATTTTTGTGAATAGTAGTATAAAGTGATCGTTTGTAAGCAACTCAGTCAACTCCACTTTACTAGGGTAACTCAGGAAAGAAATGTTTGACTTTACAACTCTTCACGAACTAAGGTTAGGCCTACTGTTAGTCTATTTCTTAAAGAACTCCTGCCGCTTGTTTAGTTAATAAATGATTACTAATTACTTTGCACATATCCAAACAACACATTCTTGTTCATATTTTGTTCCTGTGATATTTTGTTCCAGTCCATTATACGGCGATAAAAAGCATGACAGTATTGACAGCGCGGAGAGATATTGTTTATTTGCAGGTGAGGAGCGTGTCACTTGGTGATACTGCGGAGTGATATCATCATTAGAAAACAGCATGTGTGTAGTCCCGGTTAGTTCTAGAAGTCAGTCACGCGGTGACAAATTGCGCAGGAGAGTGGACTAAACACCACATTTGGTTTTACCTGTTTAATTTAATATTTATAAGTCGTTATACTACATTTTAGGCTATTGAACACGTCGTGAGCCATAAAGAAAGACTGCATTTAAATTAGGATATCGTCTAAAGTCAGGCATCCGCTCTTGTGTAATTAGGAAACATGCTTTCAGTGTAAAGAACTCGTCCTAATCTGCCAAAAAAGAAGACTTGAACATCATGCAGCAGGCATAGTTTGTAAGGAATCGCCGCCACCTAGTGGAGATTACACGCACGCACACACACATAAATACTGTTAGTTTAAATTATTCAATGCCAATGTACAGGTGCATCTCAATAAATTAGAATGTCGTGGAAAAGTTCATTTATTTCAGTAATTCAACGGGGTATTGTCAAGAGGAAAATGAGAAACAAGAGACCAAAAAATGCAGATGAGCTGAAGGCCACTGTCAGAGAAACCTGGGCTTCCATACCACCTCAGCAGTGCCACAAACTGATCACCTCCATGCCACGCCGAATTGAGGCAGTAATTAAAGCAAAAGGAGCCCCTACCAAGTATTGAGTACATGTACAGTAAATGAACATACTTTCCAGAAGGCCATCAATTCACTAAAAATGTTTTTTTTATTGGTCTTATGAAGTATTGTAATTTGTTGAGATAGTGAATTGGTGGGTTTTTGTTAAATGTGAGCCAAAATCATCACAATTAAAAGAACCAAAGACTTAAACTACTTCAGTCTGTGTGCATTGAATTTATTTAATACACGAGTTTCACAATTTGAGTTGAATTACTGAAATAAATGAAATTTTCATGACATTCTAATTTATTGAGATGCACCTGTATACGTATATAAATATAACGGTAGCAATACAGTGCTGTTTTTGTGCTTTTTTAGAATCGCCTTGAAGCCCCACCTGTTCAAGACGATCATATGGTGCCGCGACGAGGTGCGAGTGGTTCAGGCGATGGCCTGCTAATCCTCAGTGCTCTGCACGCTTGGGTTCGAATCCATCCTCGTCGGTTAGTGATTTTTCAGTCTTGAAAAACATTAAGCCATGACAGTCATTTGGAAAAATCTACTTCTGCATATTATGGCAAGACACCACAGGTGTCATAAAAATGTAAATAATATATCTCCCCATATTTACCCCAGTTAATAATCAACAGTACAATAAAACAATGTGTGAATCGTTTTCGAATACATCATTGTTAGATATGAAAAAGATGCATTTCACAATTAAATATGCATTGGTTTGCATACATTTCCAGAACAGATATCTTAATATTGGATAAAGTCGTTTCCTTGACATTTTTAGTTTTCAGGTTTTTTTTGTAGTTTAACATGTTTTTAGAAATAAAATGTTATATAAAGTAAGTGATATATGATGTAAACACCTTCAGATTACTACAAAGTTTGGTGTATGTAAATTATGGTGTAGATTTATGATGCAGCAAATGAGAAACAAATACTTAAAAATAAAAAGGAAATTAAAAATGTTTTGTAACATCTTAAAGATGGAAATAGGTAAATTGTAATAAAATAAACACTAAAATATGTATTTTGGATATATATTTTTTTTATATCAATCTAAAATACATTATTAAAGTATTTCAACAATTACAGTATCTCCTGGGAAAATGGAGAAAAGAATGAGTGAATTTAGATTTATGTCTCTGGTTCAGTCTGTTGCAAATCAAGCAAGAATTGTCCCGGTTCACCGCGGGGCCCCCTCAAACCCGAGGCCCAGTGCGACCGCACCAGTTGCACCCCCCTAAGGACGACCCTGATCTGATGTGTATTTTGAATCAAAAATGTAAAATACAATGTGACCACTTTTTTTTTCTAAATGGGCATAAATTTTAACACAAAAGGACATTTATAGAATTTAGTGCTTGGTCTTAAGCCATTGTACTTTTTTAAAATTAAAAAATTAAAGGAATAGTTCACCCAAAAATGAAAATTCTGTCATTAATTACTCACCCTCATGTCGTTTCAAACCCGTAAGACCTCCGTTCATCCGTTTTGATGGAATCGGAGAGCTGTCTGACTCTGCAAACTTAAATGTTAGGGACGGAGCATGCATTCAGGTTAAATAATTATTTCAGCCGAGATTGAGAGATTGAGAACTGAAGTCTTGAGGGCCGTTACATCCATTATGTGCTGTTGAGTCCATGAGTTTCAACACTACTGAGCTGTTTCTCTTTTGAAGACTTCTTTTTCTGGACAATAAAAGAGCAGTACAAGTAATTTACTTGCAGAACAATTAATCAATCAGTTTTATTATCATAAAGGGTTTCTGCCGGTTTCATAAAGATAAAGACTTTTTAAGACCAAGTAAAGACCATTTAAGAAACACAATGAGCCATTTTAGCAACACTTCAACGTTTGAAAACACAATTTTAAACCGATCTCCATTACTTTTTAAAGGAGAAAATTCTGCTTATTTTCTTTTAGAAACTGTGTGCCATTTCAATCATGCAATTCATTCACCAATTTTACCTTTTTGTGCACTACCACCTCCTCATCTGGAGCAGATACAGGAGGATCATCAGGGATTATCTCCTCTGTTTCTTCATCTCTCTCCTTCTTTTTCTTCTCTGTACATCATTTCAGTGTGAAAGGGAACACAAGCAAACAAAAACTGAATGAAGCAGTAAAATAAAGCCTCAATCCAGGATATACATGTATTTAATTACTCACTCTTTTTCTTCTGACTTATTTCTACTGGAACGGATGCTTTTTCTTCTTCTGCTGGTGGTGGTTGAAGAGCATCTGCATTTTCACTCTCCTTGCTTTTCTTCTTCTCTTTGTCTTTCTTGGCCTTCTTGAGCTCAGGTGTGGCCTCCTCCGGTGCTGGGACATCACAAGCTTCTTCCCTTTTGTGTTTTCTTTTTTTGGAAGGAGTTTTTAGATCGTGACTACAGGTTTCCTCATTTCCCAAACCATCACCATCTACAGTCTTTGCTTGAGATTTACTACTTTTTAAGGGTGTTTCTGATGGAACGTCATTCTGGATCAGCAGCCTTGCTTTTTCTTTTTGTCGAAAAGCTGTTTGTAGAGTCAGACTGCGGGAGATCAGCATCCGATGTGGCTGTTTTGACCTTCTTACTGGTCGTTTCCTCCTCGCCAGATTCTTCAGTGCTTTTAACTTTCTTGGCTTTAGCTTTTTTTGATGGTGTTTCAGGCTCAACTGTTTCTGAATGGCTTTTACTGGCCTTAAGTTTGGCTTTTTTAGATGAAGAGTCAGGTTTAACGGATTCTAGAGAGACATCAGCTTTCTCAGGTGTCGTTTCTTGTCCATTCTCAGAAGGACCTTCTGTTTTCTTAGCTTTAACCTTCTTTGAAGGTGTCTCATCAGGAACAGGCTCTACAACACTTTTAGGCTTCTTGTTTTTCACTTTTTTTGATGGGGTCTCTGATTGGTCAGAGGTATCGTCCATCCTAGCGTTCTTAACAGCTTTCTTAACCTCTTTAATATTTAAGGGACTATTGTCAGTTTCAACATTACTGGCTTCAGATTGGCTTTTCTTTTTTTTAGCCTTTTTAGATGGAGTTTCAGTGCTGCTGGTTTCTGAGGTACCATTATCTTTCCAAACATTGGTCTCAACTTGCCCTGAAAAACTATTTTCTTTTTTAAAGTGAACCCTATTAGGAGTCCTAATGGCTTCTGAATCTGATACACCAACCCTTTTAGTCCTTGTCAACGGAGTGGCAATTTTGCCAGTTTCCAAGAGTTCATTCATTTCATGATGTGCTTCTGGATTATCAAGCGAGTTAGTAGCTTTAGCTTTTGCTCTTTTAGGGGTCTTAACCACATCAAGACCTGAGATACTACTATTTTTCTTATTCCCAGCCTTTTTGGATGGTGTCTCAACTTCATGATGTTCAGAAATAGCTACAGAATCTTTGTCTTTTGATTTTTTTTGAAGGAGTCTCAGATGCATCAGTTGTTACAGGAATGTCATCAGGTTTGGCAGTCGATTTCTTTGCTGGTGTACTGGACTTTCCCTTCTTGGCTGGGTTTCCCTCTTTTTGAGCTCTTGCCGGCTTCTTTGTCGTCCTTCCCTTTGCTGAAGACTTTGCAGATGAGACAGGAGATTCATCCAAGGTCGAGAGAACATCCATCTTCACACGATCAGTATCTGGTTACAACTCCAGCCTTTTTGGATGGTGTCTCAACTTCATGATGTTCAGAAATAGCTACAGAATCTTTGTCTTTTGATTTTTTTGAAGGAGTCTCAGATGCATCAGTTGTTACAGGAATGTCATCAGGTTTGGCAGTCGATTTCTTTGCTGGTGTACTGGACTTTCCCTTCTTGGCTGGGTTTCCCTCTTTTTGAGCTCTTGCCGGCTTCTTTGTCGTCCTTCCCTTTGCTGAAGACTTTGCAGATGAGACAGGAGATTCATCCAAGGTCGAGAGAACATCCATTTCACACGATCAGTATCTGGTTACAACAGACAAACTTCAATAATCATATTTCATGTTTCATTAATCTTATGTAAACATCACACCAAGAAGTTAATACTTTTATTCAGAAAGGATGCATTGGCATTTATAGTGTAGTATAAGCATTTATAATGTTTGAAAATATTTATATTTCAAATAAATGCTGTTCTTTTGAACTTTCTATTCATCAAAGAATCCTGACAAAAAAAATGATCACGGTTTCCACAAAAATATGAAGCAGCTTTTTTCAATATTGGTAATAATGATAAATTTTCACTTCATTTTCAGCAGCCATTACTCATCTTTAGTGTCACATGATCCCACATGAAAAATCATTCTAATATGCTGATACATACAGAGGAGAGAGAGAGAAAGAGATAACATTGTGATATTTTCATGAACATTAAGCAAATGTTCCTCTCATTAAATTTTTAATTTTTTTTTGGAGGATAATTCCCGTTATATTCAATGGTGATCCTAATAATATTCTTTTTTTTAAATTAAATGACTGATTGAAATAATCTTAAGATGTCTTAAAGGGTTAGTTCACCCAAAAATGAAAATTCTGTCATTAATTACTCACCCTTGTGTTGTTCCAAGCCCATAAGACCTCCGTTCATCTTCGGAATACAATTTAAGATATTTTTAAGAAATCTGAGGGCTCTCTGACCCTCCCATAGACAGCAAGGTAACTACCACGTTCAAGGTCCAGAAAAGTACCAAGATGATCAACAAAGTAGTCCGTGTGACATCAAAATAACGAAAACAAAACAAAAATAATGACTTTATTCCACATTTCGCACGATCACAACAGTATCATCACACGCTCGAGTCATGATACTGTCGTGAACGCGCGTCCACAAGTGCCGCAGTAGAGACAAAAATGTGGAATAAAGTCATTGTTTTTGTTTTCTTTGCGCAAAAAAGTATTCTCGTAGCTTCGTAACTTTACAGTTGAACCCCTGATGTCACACGGACTACTTTGTCAATCATCTTGGTACTTTTCTGAACCTTGAATGTGGTAGTTACCTTGCTGTCTATGGGAGGGTCAGAGAGCTTTCAGATTTCATCAAAAATATCTTAAATTGTGTTCCAAAGATGAACGAAGGTCTTACGGGTTTGGAACGACATGAGGGTGAGTAATTAATGACAGAATTTTAATTTTTTGGTGAACTATCCCTTTAATAAGACTGTTTGTTTTGCACTATGATGATGAGAATTTGGGGATAAATAAATGTCCTTAAATGTCATGAAAATAATGTCACAATGCAATAAACTTTTTTTTTTAAACGGTTCAATTTTCTTGTAAGTAGCAATTTGCTAAGTACCTTTAAACATAAATAAATAATATCTTTCTCTTGATTTTGTGGTTAAACGTGGTGTTTGTGTGATTTACCCATCTGCAGGTAGTACACTACAACCTTTCAATGTGATCTATTGTGCATTTTTACAGTTTGTCTGACCTGATAACTGAGAAACCATTTTCCTCCACTTCTCCATATCTAAACTCGAGTCTGAATCGGAATCGTTCCTTGCAGCGGCAGTGGCCAATTGAGGCACCGACTGTTTTCTTTTCCTTGGTTTGGTCACAGTTTCTTTTTTCTTCTGTTTCTGTGGAGTGGAGTAAGTGATGAATATGTCAGGTGACTTTTGTATGGTGGCTCAGTTAAGTTTGGGTAAAATATTTTGGTCAGTTTTAAATCAAATACCGTAGATTTTTTCGCCAATTCTGAAGTCGTCTTGTTGCTCACAGACTTTTTTGGACCAACTACTTTCCATGCACAAAACAAACAACCAAAAATATAAATAACTTAAAGAAACTTTAACTGAGGATTAGGATCACAGTTCAGCTCGATCACAACTAGGAATATGCGTAATACAAATGTCTAAAATAAAGCTTTAAATTCTTCCTATTTAAAAGAAAATTTCTACCAGAAATGAAAATTTGCTTAAAATGTAAGATCTAGATGAGTTTGCTGCTTCATCAGAACAGATTTGGTGAAATGTAGCATTATGTCATTAATGTCTTGTTTATTACAAACACTTCACAAATCCATCAAGATGTTTTTAACTTCAAACCGTCACTTCTGGCAAAAATATGAATCCATAATCTATAATAATGCTTCCTCCATTTAAAAAAAGTAAATTTCCTGTTTTCCTCACATCAAATTCCCCCTAGATATTTGTTTAGAACTGTTTTCAAACAGTACTTGATCTGAGCATATTTCTCTCCTGATTCAGCCGAGATGACTTTTTCACTGGAGAAAGCGATAATATGGACAGAGGACATGCATTTTAGACAGAAGCAATGGTTAAGTTAAAAACGTCTCAATAATGGATTTGTTTCTTACAAAGATGCAGCTTTACATTTCACATAAATTGACGGTCTGGAGTCTTGTGGGTAATTGTGATGTTTTTATCAGTTGTTTGGACTCTCATTCTGACGGCACCCATTCACCGCAGCGGATCCATTGCTGAGCAAGTGATGTGATGCCAAATCTGTTTCCATGAAGAAACAAACTCATCTACTCATCTTGGATGGCCTGAGGGTGAGTACATTTTCAGCAAACTGTAAGTAAGATTGTCAGACTCGTGGCAGCTCCAGATAAATGTCAGACAAAAACACTGCTCAAACACACATTACACAATATAAATATTGAAATGAACTTCTCATTTACCAGCAGAGGGGGCTGTGATCTTAGACTTGGTTCCTGACTTGCTCTTTGCAGGACTCTTGAGCTCAGGAGTCCGAACACCTGTGAATTGAAAGAGTTTCAATTGGTCTCTTTTAATATTAGTGATCACTCCATATGAGTTTTAAATAGTCAGTTTGATTTCCATCAAAATGATTCATGTACAGTACTCAGATTAATAGAGTGAATCTTCTGATAAATAATATTTAGTAAAGCCTCTGATGTACATACCATCTTCATCGTCTGAGCTGAACACATCACGTTGTTTTTTGAACCTTAAACCGCATAAACACGTTTCATTACACCAAATACACAAAATAATGTTCTTTTTAGCAGCATCATATGACCCCTTTAATATCATGTATCCTTCTCTATCTCTATTAAACTCACATCCTAATAAGTATTCCAAATCCTTATTTACCTTACCTTTTTTGTTTAAATATGATATTAATTCATTTCTTTCTTCATCATACTTTGTACAATTATATATTACATGCTCCATTGTTTCTTTCTCCCCACAATTCCCACATAGACCAGTCTCATGTATTCCAGTTATGAACAGTGAAGCGTTCAATCCCGAGTGCATCTATAGTTATTATAACCTCTTCTTTTCTATTTCTACCACTTACACTTCTTTTAGTATTAACCATTTTTTTTATATTATATAGCTGCCTTCACTTATTATCTGTATTCTATATGTCCTGCCATTCTTTAATACAATTTTCCTTAATGATAGTTTTAATTTCACCTTTACTTAAAGGAACATTAAAATCTATTACTTCTCTTTTTAAAGCATTTTTTGCTAATTCATCAGCAGATTCATTACCAGCTATTCCCACATGTGCTGGCACCCAGCAGAATCCAACTACCACTCCTTTTCTTTGTATACGCCATAATAATGTAAATATTTCACACATCAAATCTTCTCTAGAAGATTGCCGAGTAATCAATGATGTTAAAACAGAAGCAGAGTCAGAGCATACCACTACTCTGTCAGGTCTTACTTCCTCTACCCATGTTAGTCCTATTATGATAGCAACCATTTCAACAGCATATATTGACAATTTAGATGCCAATCTTTTAGTTATGGATATTTTTAAATCTGGAATATATATTCCTACTCCTGTAAGCCCTGTTTTGGGGTCTTTAGATCTATCTGTATAAATGTGCATACTTGCATAAAATCTTTCCTGTATATACTTATTTACATTATATTTAATACTTCCCATTTCCTCCCATTCTCTTTTCTTATCCAATATCTCTAAGTCAATTTTAACATCAGGAATTATCCATGTTGGCACCTCTTCCCATACAGGTGACACACTACATTCTATATTTGTTATCTGATATTTCTCTGCTAACTGATTTATATTCCATCCATATCCTCTCCCTTTGTTATTTGAGTATTCCCAGCAATTATTTAAAATATCTTTAGCTATGTGTTTCCCAGAATAACTCTTTAAAGATACAGCTCTATACTGTATCCTAGACTCCTTAATAATGTTTCTGATGCTGAACCATAAATCATGCAGTCTGTCTTGAACCTGTTACCTGAGCGGTTCACTGGGGTCAGGATCATCATCTGATTTCAAAAACAGCAGAGTCAGCGAGTCACATCAGGGAAAAACACCTCTGTGTAAGTGTAAAACCACAAACGACCGCTGCTCCAACACCCGGCTCCAACCAATCAAGACCAATCAAATTCAGACATCCAAACTCAGCAGTGTGGTGAAATGAGTGTGAGCAGGTGTGTTTGGATTATGGTTTGAGCTGTGGGGTGTGTGAGCGTGTGTATGTCTGTATGAAGGGTGTGTGTGAATATGTTTATTTTAGGGCAACGCAGCCCACTCGTGTTTACATGTTTCTCTAAAGAGGATTCAGGGTGGGAAGAATAAACTCAGATAAACCCAAAACAACAGCAGTTTCAAACTTTCATGACTATGATGAAACTGATAATTACCTAACATTTGACTCTGTTTGCATGAATAATGAAGGAGAAACTCTTCACTAGCTCTAGGCAGGTGATGGTAAGCAGTTCAGGTCAACTGACAGGAGGAGCGGGGTAACTAGCATTCACAGAGCTCCATTCATGAGTATCTGAGGAAAAAAAGAGTTTGTAAATGGTTTAGCCAGGGGGTCAGGGTTTGGCTGGTTCCTCTGCAGGTATCGTCTGCTGGCACATGCTGTAACTACACAATTATATTGTGTAGTTTCTCTCTTTACAGGCGTTCAACAGTCATGGCATATTCTAACCAAGAAGGTCTAGACTACAATACCTGGAGAAGAACCGCAGAACTTTCAAAGCCAATCACTTGAGCCATGAATGTCATATGACTAATGTCGCTAAAGAAGAAAAATGATGCCATTTTCAACAACAACATGCACCCAAGTTATGTATTTTTGTAGAATTTTTAGAATATATATGTATAAAGATATATACATCCTCCTGCATTTTTATCTATTTCCTCAACATGTTTTTTTCCAGGTATATCTCCCATCAAACCAAATTCCTAGATACTTAAAAACCTTTACTTGTTCTAATGGTTTTCCATACAATAGTAGTTCAATATCTTTAGAAACATCTTTTTTCCTACTGAACAACATATAACATGTTTTATTTGTTGACATTTTAAAACTCCATTCTATACTCCATTTTTCCACCTTTTTAATAGCTGTTTGCATACTTGAAATCACTTGGGTTAGCTACATTTCGACCTCTCTTTCAAATAGCACCATCATCAGCATATAACGCACATCCAACACCATATCCTAAATTGTCAAAAATATAATTAATCATAATGTTAAAAAGAATTGGACTTATTACACTCCCTTGTGGAATACCATTTTCTGCCTTAAAAACGGATGACTGATACGCTCCTACTTGTACTATAAATGTTCGTTCAAATAAAAACTGAGATAACCAATTATACATTTTACCATCTATTCATATCCTTGATGCTTTCATTAACAACCCTTCTCTCCATATTGTGCCATATGGTTTTTCTATATCAAAATATACTACTGCCATAATTTCTTTCATTTTTATTGCCTTCTCTATTTCGTTACTGACCTATTAATGCATTCATTGTTGATCTTTTACCTCTAAATCCACACTGATATTTACATAATTTACCCTTCTTTTCTAACTCATAAGATAATCTATGAACTATGATCTTTTTCATTAATTTACATAAGTTTGAAGTTAAAGCAACTGGTCGATCATTTCCTGGGTATGTTGGATTTTTACCTGGTTTTACAATAGGTATTACTACAGCTCGCTTCCATATCTTTGGAAGTATTCCTTCTATCCATATTTCATTATATAACTTAAGTATAATTGATAATACACTATCTGACGGATGCTTTATCATTATATAACTTATCCTATCACACCCAGGAGCAGTATTGGCACATTTCTGTTCCGCTACTTTCGCGCAGCAGCGACACGCGCATTCCTTCACTCTGACCCCTGAACGCTCCACTGCTCGCACTGCATCATAGGAAATGTAGTTCTTTAAGGTGTGCTCCGTTTTTGTAGCATATGAGAGATTCTTATACTGTACACACACACACACACACACACACACACACACACACA